GTTAAAATTTTTTGCTGAAGTCCAGATATATTACATCTACACTATTCCTATCATCTATCAGTGAGGCTACCTGATACCAGATCAACAAATTAGGTAAGATTAGTCTGGTTGTATTTGTTCTTGAAAGATCTATGTTGGCTTTTAGTACTGCATTGTTTTCAAGGTGCTTGCAGAGGTGCTGCTTTATAATTTGCTCCAGGATGTTCTTTGGGATTTATGTCAGGTTGACTGGTCTGTAGTTCCCAGGTTCCTCCTTTTTTTCCCCCTTTTGGAAGACAGGGACAACATTAGCCCTCCTTCGGCATCCAACGCTTTACCCATCTTCATAATAGACAGTAGTTCTGAGCAACGTTCCCTCTAAGCTGCATGGACATGTGCCACGCCATCGGGTGCGCACAGCTGAGTTAGCGTATCCACCCATTTGTTTCCATTTGTGGCTGGAACTCTGCACAGAGGGGCCAGAACCTCCATGCAGAGTTCTAGAGAATTAGAGGGAACATCAGCTTATACTTCACATTTCCCTGGAGGGACATAGATTGGCTTTTGGGGAATGGCCAAGCTAAACTAGGAATTGAGCACTTATTTTGTTTTCTGATATCCTTTTTTTGCATCCCCATTGAATAGTAGCTGAACTAGTTTCTTTTCTTTGTATTTTGCTACATATGTACCTGAAGAATGCTTTTTTGTTACTTTTAGGAACTCTTGCTTATCTCAGCTCATTCTCAGCTTCTGCTTTTCTAATGCCATCACTGCAATTCTTTGCTACTTGTCTACACTCTTCCTTTATGGCCTGGCCTTCCTTCCACGTCCTATATGTGACCTTTTTTATTTTCAGGTCCTCTTTCAGCTTTTTGTGAAGCCATATTTTTTCTTGATATTTTGCTGTTTTCCACCTTTTCTTCCTTGTTGAAACTGTCTGTTGCTCTGCCTTTAGACTTTCTTTTTAAAGAAGCCTCCACCCATCTTGGACTCCTTTTTCTGTTAGGATCTTTTGCCATGGAACCATACTTATAATTGCCGAGTTTAATAACATTGGTTTTCTTGGATACATGCAGCTACACTCTGCTTTAGTTTCCTTGGAAATCAAGAATTTACGTAGAACATGGTGACAAACAAATATTTGGTATACACTGTTGCAGAGTTTTGAAATTTTTATTAAATTCCTCTATCTGTGTATCAGAAGTGCAAGGATTCACAGAACAGAACATGTAATTCTGAGTTCCCCAGAGTGGATCACCCTGTCTCATTAACTGGCACTTACAGCCTCAGTAACTCACTCTGAGACATTAATAGAAGAACAAATTATTTAATTACTTAACAGTTTTACAGAGCAAACATGACTGCTTTCATGCCAAACTGAGAGTGCAATCCATAATAGTAATAACAGTACTAATATCTAGAGTAGGCCCACTGAAACAATGGAATTTACAGAGAAGTTGGCTTACCAAATTCCACTGATATAATGAGCCTACTCTAACTGTAACTTATAAGACTTAGAGTACACATGTATAGTTTGCAGTGAGTACATTTAGGTTTGCAGCCTTGCTCTAAATAATGACAGTGTAGCTACTGTAACTACCTTTAAAGCGATTTAGCTACTTGATAAATATTGCTTAACAGTTATTTACTATAAGTGCTTCACGAACATTAACCAGCATTCACAAAAAAAGTGAACAAGAAAATTTGAAGTTAAATGTATTCTAAAAATACTTATTCAGAGAATGAGTACCACCTTTTCACAGTTATACGCTTGTATAACCAATATTTTTAAAACTTGTAAGGAATTACCACATGATCAAGCATTATAACACTTTGTACAACTGCTAGAAGAAATACTTTGCATTATTTTCTGTGCCTTATAAGTGTTATTAGCTATTCCAGAGTTATAGGAATTTAGTTACATTTCATCAAAGAGAATCTAGCCCATTCTAGATGTTATGCTGTAATACTTTGTTAGTCTTTAAGCTGCTACAATTTGGTTATGAAAAGTATTAATACAATTGGCAATATTTAGCTCAATCTATAAAACAGAAAAATTAACATTTGTACATTAGCCTTGAATAGGGACTTGAAGAGATGGAGACTGTACTGATCTAAACACTGTGGTTTGTTTTTTTTGTTCGGAGAGTGTAAGGTGCTCAAAGGCAGGGCCTTCCCACAGGTTATTATTATAGCTCCTCTGTGTCTTTCCAGGGTTTCTCTATTGCTGATCTTTTAAACAAAAGTAACTGTAGGATTCAACATAGATAATCTCCCACAATCAAGGGATCCTCTTGCCAAGCCCCTTTTCACCTAGTATTACTATAGAAACCTATAGCTTGACTTAAATCTGCCTAGATTAGAATAAAGCCTATGCAGATACAGACATCTGAGACAGTGTGATGGCACACTGACACTTAGTTGTTCAAACCAAATGCCCTCCTGGATGCTGATGAACTCTTTGGGGAAGACTGGACTTTAATAATTAAACCAAAAAGTAGTACTCTATGGTTATCACCACCAGTAATGTTTGTATCATATTGGTCTTGGTAATGTTTATAGGGCAAATACACAGGCAAACATCAACTTGCTGTTATATTTATTTTTAAAGGAAGCATTTTATAAGTCACACTGAATTCTGTGAAACTTGCTTCAATGTATAGGAGCAAGCCTGAGTGATCTTCACAGACAACACAACACATTGTCTATGTTGTCTATTGGTGGTATTTATTTCAATATAGAATCCTTACTGACACGAAATAATCTCCCACTACAGCATGACTGGGTGCAATTTCACTATGTTAACAAAAATGCAAAACTGGTTAAACATTTCTTCCAGTTACGCACACATAACCTGAAAGCATTTAATTAATTCACCTATGATTTTAATCAGTGGTGAAATAAATTTCTTCTAGATAGAATGGAGGAAATAATTAAAAGATAACAAGCATGCATTTACAAATGAAAAACCTATCAGGTGTTTCTAAATTGACTAATTATTTTAGAAAGCAAGGGTTAAAGAAACATCTTATGATTTAGAAGAAATGCCAAAGTTAATTCACAAAAATTGAACTTTTTAGAAAGGGCAATAACTGAGAATTCGACAAAACTATGAACTGAATATCTACAAAAAATAGGACTTCTAGTATTATTTTTGCTACTACTATTATTAGTAATAAAAATAATAAACAAAAGGAAAGCAAAACAAATACCCACTAATTGATATAAGCAAAATAAAAGGAGCTACGTGTTTGTTTTCTGCAGAGATTATGGGAAAACGTGGAACTGTTAGTCAGGGGTAACAACAAAGCTGGCTCTGGGGTTTGTATTCAAGACAAGAGTTGTGTATCCAAGTTTTGGCTGATAGAGAGAAGAGAGCATAGAAAAGGCTGGACCAGAGCTTCTTGTATCCGTGCTAATGGGAGGGTGCAAGTTCCATCCTGTGGGGAATGGAAATAATGGTGGTGATGGGGGAGAGCAAGGTTTGAAAATTCTCACCAGTCCTTCAGTCTATTCTGCAGCACTAGCAGGAGGATGTGAAGCTTTCATAGCCTCAGAGAGGATAAGAAAATAAAAAAAATGCTTGAGAATACTTAGTTTTGTTGCCCTCTTTTCCAGGGTTAGTAAAAACACTGGATAACTGGGAAATAGAAACTGAATCAGCAGAAAACAATTATTCAGAATGATTACTGTTTTCTGTTCTTGTATTTGGAGTAGAGAAAGAATATGCTAGTCATTGTGGGTGAGGATATCATACCCACTATTTTATCTTTAAAAAGATTTCAATCTAGTCCCCAAGATTTCAGGGAAAAGGCCAAACCATGTACTGTAAATTGTAGTTCTCAAAGAATTAATCACAACAAAAGAAGATCCCATGTACCAATGTACCTCATATTTCACAAGGTTAGATTTACTTGGTCAAATTTTATTTTGTTAAGGAAGAAGCAAAGAAACAAATAAAAAAAATACATACCATACATACAGCACTTCTACAAAATTGGAGGAAAAACATGCTAGGAATGGCCCATCAATCATCCCATATCAACAGCCTTGCAACCCTGTTTAAGTCAATACCTTTAAAAAAATTGAACGTGTTAATAGCTTCCTGTTCTAGGAGAGAGGGGCAACTGGGGCCAAATTTACACACAAAAAGGTTTTTCTCGTGTTCTCCCTGATCCCAAGAACATTCGCTCCATTGGGCACTTCAGATGCTTTACTTCCAAACTAAACCACAGGTAAAGATTCTGCAACCAACAGCGTCAACAGCAAAAAAAGCCTTTGGCAGAGCTTCCTTCTTACGATACACCTCAGCGGCCTTTCCTAAGCCAGAATAGAGGGGAAAGTTAGGAAGCCACTGAATTACTTGAAGGAGGAGCTCTGCCAAACTCTTTTTTTCCCTTCCAGTTTGCACTTCGCGAGAGAAGGGCTTGCTTGCATCATCTCTGCTTGTGGGAGTGAGTCCGGCGAAAGGGCTAATGCTGCCAGCCCTATTGAAAAAAAAATCTAGCTCTAGTTAAATAAATAAATAAATAAATTCAGCTGCCCAACCCACTTTTGCTTCCCGAAATATCCACCAATGTCCTTTAAGCTAACCCCTTCCAGCCCCTTCTTGCCTTCAACATTTCCACTTTTGAATCCTTGACTTTTGTCAGAACCAGACGCCAGGAAAAATGATCTAGTCAAGAAAAATTACTATCCGAAAAGTATATCAGGGCAAAATCCAAAGGAACCAAACAAAAAGACAAAAACATGTGGCACTTTAAAGACTGTATTATATTTTAATGGGAGCTTTCGTGGACAAGCCCACTTCGTCAGACATGGGCGGGGGTGGGATGAGGAGAAATGAAACGGTGAATGTGTTCCACGGCCACCATCTCTTTTTGGGCGATACTTCTTATTTTCTCCAACTTTATCCCTAGCCCAAAGGTTCCTACTATGTACTGTCATTTTTCCCCCTGAATCAACATCCCGATCAGGGGTTTTTTTCCCCTCCCTTTTCTTCATCCTGTTTAACTTTTCACCTTCTCTCGCCCTTTCTCGGCTTCAGTCCCGTCCTGTTTTGATTCCGCAATAGTCATCGCTGTTTCAAAGAGGACAAACTTCCTTTTGTACGCGATAAATTCGTCTGGCGCAATGAGGGAAAGCTCAGACACGAAGGGAATTTTTTTCCCGATCTATAGAGGGTGTCTTATGCCGAGATAAAAAATTCCCCTCATCTGTGAAGCAAAGCACACCTTTCAGGGAACTACGTAAACTTAAAGGAACGTCGTTTCATTGGGCCAAGAGATTGTTTATACAACATATCGGGACCTTTAAATTAATCGGACGTTTCTGTTCATATTGGGTGTTTAATGAAGTCACTTCCAATCCCTACATTCCACAGCGTCCTATCGCTTTTTTGGGGAAGTAATTCCTTTTAATTCAACAAACAACCCCCCCAAGCTAACTCTCTAGGGAGCATAGAGGGGGGGTGATTTATGGGCACCCCTTGGTATTAAAACGTATATTAACTCTAGTTGCCACACAAACAGGCAGTAGAGCCCCGAAGCTGATGTTTCCTGACTGAAAACTGAGGCACTGAGGGTGGAGTGGGGGGGGCTGGGTGGATTGTCTGCCTGAAACTGGCACATAGATGTGTGTGTGTCTGTGTGTCTTGTGAAGACGAAATGAAACCTAGGAAACAGGCGCCCCCTTTACTTTGTGTAAAAAGGGCAGGCTCGGAGCTCCCAGTCTCGGCTGAGCTTGGCGCCTCTAAAACTCAGTGAGAAGCGCCCCCGGCGAGGGAGTGGGGAGAGAGGGAGGGAGGGAAAAAGGCTGATTCACAGCTCCGAACCGCGTTTTCCCGCTCTCTCCCCTCCCCGCTCGCTCAACGAGCTCTTCGGCTCGCGCTCTGCCTCATACACACACACACAGAGGGCTCTTTCGTTTAGCTTCTGTCTGCTTCCGCCATGGCCGGGACTCTTTTTGCGCTTCATACACATTGTACACGCCTCAGCAGTTGGGTTTAGAACTCCAGCTGAAGCGCTCTTTAAATTCCAGCATGTTGTCGGGCGCGTCGCAGAAGCCGCCCTAACTCTGCCGGCCGAAAAATTAAAAAAAGGGGGAAAAGGAAAGATTTTTGGGAGCGCGGACTACTTGACGTGGTTGCCACAGCCTCGGCGGAAGGGTTTGAGCGAGCAGGCGGCTGAGCGACACTGCGGCTCTGCTCAGCGCTTCCTGGAAACTCCCGCTTAGGAGCGGGTGGGGCAGCCAGGAGGGGGCGGGGAGGACGTCCTACACACACCGTGAGGGGGAGTGGGCGGGCGGGCAGGCGAGGCAAGGCAGGGCAAGGCAGGCTGTCCGTCCGTCAGGTAAAAGGCGAGACCTGAGCCAGAGGGCAGCGTGTTGGGGAAAAGAGCGCAGAACTCGAAAGTAGCCCGAGCGGAGGTGGGACGCCAGAAACCTCTGCGTGTGTCTGTGTGTGTGTGTGTGGGAAACGAAATATTTAAAAGGGGGCGCACAGAGGCGCTTGACCTAAAAAAGAAAAAGAAGCAAAAAAAAAAAAGCGCGCTCAGAGCTTTTGATCTCTTGTCCTCCAAACGGGGGAACACAAAGACACTCCCCCCCTTCGCCCTAAAAAGAGGAAATTGGCGTCGGTTTACAGGAGGCGAGCGGGGGGGGAAGGGCAAACCGTCGCTGTAACTCAAGGGGGACTGAGGGACTTCAATCCAACCCTAAAAACCCCAGAAATTGGGGTGGGGGCGAATGGGTAGACCCGTTCCCCCAGGAAATTGCCACCAACCCCCTCCTACAAACTGGATGCGCATAATTATTGTAACCGAAAGGCCTGTGGGGGGGAGGGGAGGGGAAGTACGAATCCCCTAATAATAATAATAATAATAATAATGAGGGGCAGGAGTCCTTTCTTGCAAGCTCACAAAAAATGCAAAGCAGGTCGCCCTTTGCTTCCAAGCGAGGGGGATGTAACTTTTCCATAGGGAGGAGGGGGCACGTTAGAGGCTGCTTTTTGCTCGCCGTGCCCCCAAAGGAAGTTAATTCACTCTCCTCCCCCCGAAAACGCGGAGGAGCAACAGCAGCAGCCACCCGTGCTTCCCTCCTCCCTCCCCATACTTCTACAGATTTAAACGTGCTCAGAAAAAGGGGGCGAAACCGCTTTAGTGTTCCCTTTTCTATTTGTATTTGTTTTTATTTTTGTTTTCCTGCTGGAGAGCCCTCTTTCCTTTCCGCCCCCCCCCCGGCCCATCCCCCCCACCCCCCTTTTTTTTCATTTTCCT